ACACAAATATGTTTGTCCCTATTCGTTGCCGTGGGACCCACCCGTACCCACTTGCTGGTCTTGCTGCCCCCGTCCATGATCAACCACAAACCGCAGGCAAGTCGTAGTGTTGTTTTGTTCTACGATTTGGGGGAGGGAATGTTTTTGCACATTACCTAATTACATTAAAATATAGGAGAGAGGAGGTCAATTTTTTCTGGCCCCCTATTATCATTATCATTAATTAATGTAGGAAGCTATAAAATTGACCTCCTCCTCGCTCTAATTAGGTGAGAAGTGGTTGAGTTAATCTTTTGCTCAAATGCTAGGAGGCACAATTTGAACAATAATGAAAATGGAGCATTACTACGTGCAAAACAACAAAGCTTTCCGTCATCTAAATGAGCTCTGTATGGACCAGAAACCAACAAAGCTTTCCCGGCCGTCGTCCGAAGAAAGTTAGAAAGAAATAAACGGACATAACGGTGCTGTGACGTCGCAACCAACTGGGGTGGCGGTATGGTCCACGCAGCCTGGGATGCTGACTGACCCGCCGCCATTGTTTTCATATTATAGTTACCGTACTTGTTTACCACTAGGTAGTGCTGCTGGTAGCACTACCTACTATTTTGTTATCTGTCGTTGCCATCACCGGCTGACCCTCCTAATTAGATTTCCGCAAGGTGGCTGCTTCTTCTTCCTTTTTCTTTTTTTTTTTGGCTAAGAAAAAAATTTAGATGGATTTGACTCAAATCAACATTACGGATGGGTTTTGAATAGATAATATCATGTTATTTAATTATATAAGAATTTTGAACATAATTAACAAACAATTGTAGATTTGATGGATAAAATAAAGTAGTTGAAGTAATTATGTTGATTATTATCAGAATTAAACATTCGATTCTTATACTGAAAAAAGTACACACAAGTTCAGTGACGCATAATAAGTTCAGTGGATGGATTTTTATTTATTAGACACCCCAAAACACGTGAATGTCTGAAAATGTTCAGTTTCAGCACTTTTTTATGTTATCAAATAGATGATAAGTCAACTTATGTTGGCGCAAGATGGATGAATATTTTTAATTAATTTTACGCACCTTTTAAATAAATTTTATTACATGAACTACATTTTAAATTGAAAGTACTTTGATAGTCTTGGATTTTTCACATGGTTTAAGGAAAATTGGTTAATTTGATTGAAAAAGTAAATATAATCTAATGCTTTTATGTTATATCTTTATATTAATTACAATGACAATACTACTTGAGACACGAATCAAAGTAATTATTGAATAAGTTAGGTTATATTCATTGACAATAATAAAATGTATATTAAATAAATATATTTTAAAGAAGTTAAAAGTTAGTTATATTTTTTAATTTAAAGAGTAGACTATAATTTGATATGATTAAAAAAAGGAAAATAAAAGATATTAAAGTGGGATAGAGGGGTAAAACTTGTGAACGCGCCTAACAGATGCAATTTGTGAAAGGAGACTCACGGCACTTGACCATTTGTTGAATTAGCGTTCAAGAACGTACCATTCGGTTCGGCGGACTATAAGCCTTGACCGGCGGACCGCGGCAGTGGAAGTGGACACGTAACCGTTGCGGTCCATTCTGTTGTACTGCACCCATTTAAGCAGTGTATATATACTACATAGTAGAGTTGGTTAAGTTCTTTGCAGTACATTTTCCATTAAACACGACATGGTTTTTTTTTTTTTTTTGGGATGATTGTGAAATATCTGACAACTGCCGAGGGGCACTGCTGAAAGAGAACTCGGATCTTAAATTTTTGAATAAGTGATATTAAATTAACACAATATTTAAATTCAAATTTGGCAAGTCTGTGTATTTAAAGAGAAATTATAGTAGTATATATAATAATAATGTTTAATACCCATTAAAACATCTGTTGAGAAAAATACTTGCAGAAGTGGTTTTTAATTGGCAACTCGCCGCACGGACGGAGGAATCTTTTCCACATCGAGGAGTTCCATTGAAGACAACCTCCTTTTACCATGACACCTGATTCTTTCCGCTAGATTTCACTCTTTCGACTGATTCTTCAGGCGTTCCGAGTCCAGAAAAGGAGGAGAATTTTCAAGTTTAGACAATTACGCCAGCAAGCTGGGGTCTAAAGGAGGTTGACTTCGTGAGCATTTTCATTTGTGGAACAACAAATAATATATAATTTTTCCGAAAGTCTCGAGTACTGTATGTATATGCTATTTTGTCATTGATAACATATTCTCGCAGTACCTTTAGTCAAGTCTCATATCAAACGTCTTGTGTGGGCTCAAAGTCACAACAGCAGAAGCGGCTCGTTTTCCATAACAATTATTAATTATTTTTAGCGTTACATCACCCTTTGTTTTGGACAATTTCAAACACGACATGTCGACTCTGTTTGGCTTTTTAGGATTGTCCAAGATGATGATGACAGATACCTGTCCATTTCTAGTCCTGCATCAGCCTTAGGAAAGATTTCTTTTCTTTTCTTTTTTTAAAAAAAAGGCATTATGGGGTTTGGAATTGGAAGCGGCTGAACTCATGCGGGTTTAAAATCTCCCATCCTACTTTGATCTCTACTTAGTTTTAGAGAAAAATGTAAAATTTTGGTGCTCAAAGTTTGACATATAAGCGCTTTTAGTCTCCAAATTTTGGACAAAAACAAATTTTAAGACACAATCTTTCAACTTTTGAGTACATTTAATGGATTTTTTTCCCCAAATTACTATATAAAAAAAAGAGGCACGTAATAGTCACATATCCGACTGCTATTATATAATAAAATGCAAAAAACGTAAAATTTAGTCATTGAACTTAGCATTTAGTGTCTGAAGAATATTTTATATTTTTTTGAATATTTTTAATACAATAGTTGTTGGACATGTAATTATCACGCGACTCTTTATGATAACAATTTGGAAAAAACCAACAAGGGTATTACATATACTCAAAAGTTGAAAGATGGAGACCAGATTTGCTTTTGTCCAGAATTTATGGACTAAAATCGCTCATGTGTCAAATTTTAGATACCAAAACTATAAAAAAATATAATGGGATGTAATTCAAATTAATTAACCTTTATATCCTCCAGAGATTTTTTTCTTACACGATAAACTACACCTTGGGGCTATAAACCTGTGAATCAATTACCGTTGAGGACGTTTGATAAATTTACCTTTTTACAACAATGGTAGACAAAATATTCATGTAATTCTGGGTTTATATGAGTATGCACATCCAAACTATTGCAATCTACAAATTGCCCCAAAACTATCAACATATGTTAGCAATTTCACATCTTATACATTAATTTGCGGCAAAGTGTTGATATAATTGTAATGCCGTTGAGCTTTTTCTAAATGTTTTGGGGTGCTACAACTTTTTCATTCAAATATTTATGTCATTATCCATTCATTTTAAATTATTTAAACAATGTGCTATAAATTGATAATGTACAATACTTAACAGCAAAAATTGATAGTTTGTGGAGAAAACCACAAAGCATTTTTGTAGTGGATGGGTGGATATCGCCATTTACCCTCGCCTACCAGTTTCAATAACTTTGGTATTTTATCAAAACATTTGGCCCAAAAGGGAAAAAAAAAGAACTAATTCATTCATCTAAATAAATCCTACACTTTGACGACTCAACCATTACTTCATGATTTTGTGCCACCATCACCACACTCTTTTAAAGAACTGCTGTGCTGTACCTTTATTTCACTTAACTATGGCTAACTTTGAGCGTGTTTTTGGACAGTAGATTATTTGGATTAAATTTGTTTTTAAAAAAATTATAATATTTTTTTTGTAATGTATGTGAAATAAAAAAATAATTTAAAAATATATTGCGATACAAGTACTAATTAAAAGTTAATTATTCAAAATATCGTGGAATAAAATCTTCATAAAACAATTGAAGAGAATTATTGTGTACGTTCGTTATCGACACTTTTAACTTTTCGACTCATGTTAAAGATAAAAATACATCCCGGTCTTCTATTTCTCCAATAACACAATTAATTTTTTAAATTCTATTTGTTGCCAAATTGAAAAAGGCAACCAAAAAAAAAAGAAGAAACAAAGCACTACCCTTGCGATGCTGTAAACTTGTGGAATCCAAATTCATCACAAACATCGAGTCGAGTTTATGTGGCCATACGGACGCCGTCGGAATCTATTATCTAAAGTGGAAATGGAAAGCCAAAACAGAAAATACAGACGCCAATTCATTGGCCACGCATTTATGATTAAATTGTTCGTGCAGATTTCTCTCACTCTGTTTGTTTATTCTCGTTATTTTTTCTTTTTCCGGGCATCAACAAACAAACAAAATTGATCACCCAAAGAAATTTAGATGCCGCTTTTACCCCTCAAAAGAGGACAGGGGTACAGAGGCGCCTAGGTCCCTCGAGCCTCGAGCCTAGACGGTGCGATCCGGTGCAGGGCTCGAACCACCATGCGCCCGTCGATGCCCCCCATTTCGAACCCCCGTACACAGCTGTCAATTATTCTCCGTCCATTCAAGGACAAAACAGACATTACACTTCTACCCCAGCTTTATACCAGCTCCGTTTTTCTGACAAAGAGTCTCCGACTGTCCTCGTCACTGACGAAAAATTTAAATTAAACCCCAACCCCTCGCCACCCCTTATTAAATTATTTCGCCAAAAAACGGTAAACCGAGAAGTAGTACATAATGAAGTAGTACAACCCAAAGCCAAATGTCTTCCAATTTCCCTTCAACACCTGGCCGCTACTCCTTTCTAACTCTTTCCTGGGGGTGCTTAAAATTACCGTTTTATCCACAACCGTTTCCTTACTGATGACCATGAATCATTTTAATTGCTTGTTGTCCAAAGAATAATCATCCAAAACTACGTCGTTCTTTGGCAGGGTACTTCTGTAAACTGATGTGAGGGTCATTTTCTAACCTTTTTTCTTTTCAATTTTTTTTCTTCGTCCTCCGAGGCCATTCATTCGCTGTTTATCACGGAGTGGGTTTGCGCTTGTGTATGTAATGTGTGTGTGTGTGTTTTTTTTTTAGCTCTTTCGTGAATTTTTAGGCTCATCTTTAAAACTCAACGAGAAAGTCTTTCTATTTCAAACATCGGAAAAACGAAACTATTTGTTTTTTCCCAGAAATGGTCTGAATATGAAGCTTCAAACCCTACAGATGATCAAGACTCCGCCACCACCACGACCACCATCGCTTCAGCTGGCCATACCGGGCAACATGGCCTACCATCGGTAGCTCCATCCCTCTCCCTCCCGCCACCCTTACTTTTCTTCCCTTTTTCTTTTTGATAATATGTTTGCCTTCTCATACATTTTTGTTATCTCATCATCTTCTGTATTTTACTTTTTCAGTTTTCACTTCACTCCCGATCATCAAGAAGGTTTTTGTTTTCTTTGCTTAAGCTTCTTCTGCTTCTTTTTAAATGCTTAACTGTGTTCGAAGGATTTTTTTCTAAAAATTTTCCAAGGTTTCTGGTTGTAGGCTGAGACTTGGGAGTGGGTTTCATGAGGAAGAATCTGTTGGATTTATTTCTTAGGGGATGGTGATTTTCCTTTTTCTTTTTTAAACAGGACCGGTGAGGTTCTGGTTATGTTAAAATCTTGTATGGAACTTTTAATGTTTGTTGATGAAGTTAATTGTTTCAAGTTAAAAATTGTTTGTTTGTGGGTGATTAACTTGATGGCTTCCACATTTATAGCAAGTTTTAGTTATGTTCTTTCACCATACTCTTACCTTTTTTTTCTTGATCTTTTTAATTATTTTTCTTTTTTATGCGTGGTATTAATGTTTGCCATAAAGAGATTGTATTTGGTTTTTTGTCTGTATTTGTCCTTGTCTATTATTATCTGATAAAGCGCCTATGTACACTTGTTCATATCTTCTGCGGATGCTGCAAATTTTTTTTTTGTTACCTTTTCTATTCTTTGTTTGATTATTCTTTAAAATATGTGCTTCTTTCATTGGTTTTAATCTTATTGTGATTTATCTTATTTCGAAATTGCTTTCATCTCCCTGGCCACATCTCTCTGTTTTCCTTTACCCCGTTTAATTGTTTTGTTTGTGAGGGCAGTTGGCCATTAGCTGTGAGAGCTATTTGCGTCACACGTGTCCACAACATGATTTTCAGCTCGTATGATGGGTGTTAGTTTTTCATTGGTAATAATTATCTGGGTTGTTGCTAGAGTTTGAAATAATGGAAGGTATTAACGCATCTTTGTATGCAACAGGAGAATATGGCACTATGGCGGAGTTTTTAAATTAATGGTGGCTTTTCTATTTTGCCTTGGTATTGTGGCTACGTGTGAACCATGTTCGGTGTCTGGGGTGCATCATCAAGTGGAAAATGAAGCATGTAGGTTGTGCAGAGATGGTGGTAAGTCAGATTATCAAGGTGTATTTACTGGTGATGTTGGTTCAGGGTTTGCATTAGATAAGCTAGAGCCCCATGCAAGTCTTGATTATGTATGTGGGAATTCTAATTTGTTCTGCTTTTGGTCAACATTGCCTGGATTATCACGCCCAGGGCATGTTGTTCAATCTACATCAGCTGAAGTTTCTGGGGTTCAATCGGATGTTAAATTACATGAAATGCCAAATCATGCGAGGACTAATATTAGTTGGTCATCAAATTGTGGTATTATTAAGTTCTCTAGTGGTAGGACTATTTCTTGCTCTCTGAACCAGCAATATGGTTGTAGGGAACTGCCCAGTCCTCCTCTAGATAGTAGTGAGGGAAACGATGTTTTGTCCTGTAGAGGATCGTTTCTTGACCATAAAAGTCAGTTTTTTGACTCGAAAGAGGATGCAAGGATGAGTGACAGTTCTTCACCCCACGTAGAAATAAGCCCTCCCCTTTTGGACTGGGGAGAAAGGAACTTATATTTCCCCTCTTTAGCATTTTTAACAGTCACAAATGCACACAGTGACAATATTTTGACCATTTATGAACCTTATAGTACCAACTCTCAGTTTTATCCGTGCAATTTTAGTGAAATGGTGGTGGCACCTGGGGAAGGTGCCTTGATTTGTTTTGTGTTTTTGCCTAAATGGTTAGGCTTTTCCTCTGCTCAGCTAGTGTTGCAGACAAGCTTTGGTGGTTTCTTCATCCAGGCTACAGGGTTTGCACTTGAGTCCCCCTATCTAGTACAGCCGTTGATTGACCTGGATGTTTCCTCCAGTGGAAAGTGGAGAAAGAATTTGTCATTGTTTAATCCTTTCAATGAAGCTCTTTATGTGGAGGAGTTAACTGCCTGGATATCAGTTTCTTCTGGGAATACTTCCCATTCTACCAAAGCTGTCTGTAGTATCAATAGTATCCAAGATCTGCATGAGTTAAGTTTGCTGAGCGTTCATGAGTGGATAGATGTGAGAAGTGCTGAAGTTGGTCTGCCACTAGTTTCAATGAGACCCCATAAGAATTGGGTGGTTGATCCACACAGAATGGAGACCATCATGGAGTTGGATTTTTCATTTCCTGCTGAAGGGAGAATTTTTGGTGCCTTTTGTCTGCAGTTGCTAAGATCATCAAAAGATGAGATTGATACTCTCATTGTTCCTCTTGAAGCAGAATTTGGTCAAATTTCAGCTTACCATGAGCATGGAAGTCCCATTTCAGTATCTCTCAAGGCCCTGGTGCCTTGTGATAGCAGTGGTACTACTGTTGCTATTTTGTCTGTGAAAAATGATTCTCCTTGTATGTTGAGCATTGTCAATATTAGCGAAGTGGGAGAAGGCACAAAATATTTCCACATCAAATACACGGAAGGACTGATTCTTTTCCCTGGCACTGTCACACATGTTGCGTTGGTCTTATGTACTTCCATTTCCTTTGAAATACTTGGTCCACCTTCTGAGCTTGCTGACACAAATGTGAATTGTGAACTACATGTGTTGACAAATGATTCGAGAAATTCTGAGATCAAAATTCCTTGCAGAGATTTAGTGAGTGTTTGTTCAAGTCATACATTAGATTCGTCTGTTGGATCTCCACAAGGTTCTGAAGAGGTGGAGTATGAAAGCATAAGAACCATATCTTCAGGCAGTCCCAAGCAGCCACTAACACTGAATGAGGTATCTAGATTCTGGTCCATCTAGTTTGAATCCTAGTAAATTGAATGTTCAACTTGATAATTGCCAGGTTTTCTATTGTGATACGCATTTCTGAAATATTCCATTTACAGTTTTGAATCTGTATTCCTGTTTTAGCAGCTTTGATGTTCTACAAGAGAAAGCCTCAATTAGGTCTCAGTTTTATTTTTAATGTCTTGTCGTGTCCACCACGACTTTGATTCTTTCCAAAACATTATTTTCAAATACAGCCTCCTCTGGTTAAATCTAACAAATTGTAACGGTAAAGGTTGGTACTCATCAGTATTGCGAACCGATCAGATTCATCTAATCTTGGGGTGCTGTCCTGTGGTTGAATTACTCTTTAATGATGTGTGCTAATGCAGGGGTGACTGGAAGAAACAAAGAATAATTGCAGAATATTGTATAAATAGAATGATGCTTCTTGCATCAGCAGAAACATCTCTGAGAGTTGGTATAATTGGCTTATGTGATCAAAGATTTACGAAATCAAATGTAGTCATAATTTATCATATTTGATCTTGGGACTTGTAAATGTAAAATGAGAAAAGAGAAAGTATTCTTTTCCCTGCATCACTTATGGTACATATGAACTCATTGGCAAATTAAAATGGACCAGCAGAAGATTTCTTGTAAGAATGGCTTTAGATCAATGTCGTCTCTTTCTTGAGTCAGCATTTTAAGTTACCTCATTATTGAAGATAGTATCCATCTTCTGGAAACGGATGAACTACACTTGGGATGAAAGATTAGATTTCGATGGACTATCGTACATTATGTTTTGCTTTCTAATTGTTTTTAGCATAGAAGTAGACAAATAAATGAGTATGAATCAGGACTAGTTCATAATAGGATCCTGGTGTGAAAACCACTGCATTGGTCAACATGTTTGGAGTTGGGTTTTACCGGACTGTAATTGATTCATTCATAATTTTTGTTTTCTTAATTTGATTGATCCATCCATTTATCCATTCATTTAGAAGGTATATTGGTTTATTTAGATGAAATATGGAGCTGTTCATTTCAACTGGGAAGAATTGCAACTTACTCCTAGATAAGCTTTAAGCATTTGTGTTTAGCTAGCCTTTGCAGAGGAGTCATCATTGATAACACTACTCCCCAAATTATTGGTCAATGTGTGTGATAAAGGATTGTTACCATCAAGATTTAATTGTTCAAAGTTCTTCTGTGTGGATTGTTCTTGTTTGTTCTTGTTGAATGACAATATATTCTTTTTTTGAATGATCATGCACACCCAATTTTGTTCTAAAAAATTGACTTTTTGTTTATATACTTATCTGAAGGCATTGAATACCGCAGAAGCAGATGAAATAGTTCTCAAGAATTGGAAGTCTCATGCTACTGCAAGTGGCATGTCTGTGCTTGATGATGATGAAGTATTGTTTCCACTGGTTCAGGTTGGAAGTCATTCTTCTCGATCTGTAAATGTCAAAAATCCTAGCCAACAACCTGTTGTTATGCAGCTCATTTTGCATTCTGGAAAAATAATCACTGAGTGCAAGGCAGCGGATGGACATTTTCAGCCCTCCTCACCTGGGAGTTCGACTGGTTATAAATCAGCTTCACCTTTAAAGTATGGTTTTTCAGTGGCAGAGGGAGCTTTGACTGAGGCTCTTGTACATCCTTATGGTAGAGCATCCTTGGGTCCAATACTATTTCAACCCTCTGATCGATGTGGGTGGAGGAGTTCATTGCTAATAAGGAACAATCTTTCGGGTGTGGAGTGGTTACCTCTGCGAGGATTTGGGGGGTCATTTTCTGCAGTGTTGCTTGAAGAATCTGAACCTGTACAGGCTGTTGAGTTCAAGTTAAGCTTGCCTCTTCCTCGTACAATCTCTTCTCCTGACTTTTTACATCATATCGATGACAACATGCGTACATGCTCTCAGCCTTTGGCAAAAGAGCTATATGCGAAAAACATGGGGGACTTGCCCTTGGAGGTTAGAAGCATAAAAGTTACTGGAACTGAATGTGGGCTGGATGGGTTTGTGGTACAGAATTGCAAAGGTTTTGTTCTTGAACCTGGAAAGTCTATAAAGCTCATAATAACATTTCAGACTGATTTTTCTGCAGCTACAGTACAGAGAGACCTTGAATTATCTTTGGCAACGGGTATCATTGTGATACCTATGAAAGCAAGTCTACCTGTTTACATGCTTAGTTTTTGTAAAAAGACAATTTTCTGGATGCGACTGAAGAAATCTATCGTTTTACTCCTTGCTGCCTTTATCTTGTCTCTAGTTCTTTTTTGCTTCATTCCCCATTTGATGACTTTTGGCCAAGATTACATGTTTAAGAGTGGGAAAAGCTTCATTGCTACTGTAAGCCAAGCTGGAAAATCTGCCCGCCCCCATCGTAGCCATAGAAGCTGCAGTAAATTGCCCTTGTCTGGCAAAATGAATGGTTTGCTGCGATCAGTTGGGAAGGAGGAATCCTTACTTCTGGAGCCTGTTGGTATGCATAATGATGGTTTTGTCACCAAAGAACAAGTTTCAAGTTTTGCTGCTAGGCCTGTGAAATCTGCTCTGGAGTTTGACAAGAAAAGCAGTTGTTGCTTGGATAACGGAAAGGAAATGACTCCATCCTCTTCAATGACAAATGCTGTGACCGGTCAAAGCTCCGATGTTCAGGATGCATCACAAGCTGGAAACCTTACAGTTAAAACTGGTAAAGATAAAGGAAGAAGGCGAAGGAAGAAAAAGAGTTCTGGCAATGGTGTAACTGGGCTTTTTGAAGTTTCAAGTAGTCAAAGTGGCAATTCGACACCTTCATCTCCCTTGTCTCCTGTCTCATCCTTAACTCCCACAAGGTCTCGGCCTCTGTCCCCTGATATGAATCAATCTGTTCAGGCTAGGAATCCATTTGCACCTGTAGCCATTCAACGATACCCTGACCCTAAACCCAGGGCAAAAGTTTTGCAGTCTGAGATTTCTTTGAAACCTCGTGGTGAAAACAATTATGCTTGGAGTACTTCTAGTCAAGAGAAGCCTGATGTGTTGCATAAAGTGCCTGGCAAGCCTGTGTTATTGCCCTCTGCAACCCTCCCTCAAGCTGGTAGGCCTGACTCACTCTCGTCATGTCGTCCTTCTTTTTTGTCATCAGCATCTACAATTGCTCCACATGCCCGGGCTCCTGGATCCAAACTAAATGAGCAAAAAACAGTTGAGGAAAAGGCAAAACTGAAAGAAAAATTTACGTATGACATTTGGGGTGACCATATTTTTGTGGATAGATCAAAGGAGATTTCCGGGATGCAACCCCATGCTGAACAAAATAACTCGGATAGCTTTTTTGTTAGAGGTCCGCAGGCCCTCGTGACAATAGCTCAACGTGAATCAGTAAGTTGTTCTGATCAAGTTGGTTAATGATAAAAAATATATATTGAAAACTTATGTTCAAATCTCTCTCTCTCTCTCTCTCTCTGATGTTTGAGTTGGAGTAATGATTGATCAATCAAGAAACTTCATTCAACGAAAGCTACACTCCACTATTCCAGAAAAAGAATGATTCAGCAATAACTCCTCAAAAGTTGTATTTTCGTCACCGGATAGTAGTTGTATAATGATCTTAGGACAACACAGCCTCACAAATATACAGTTTTGTGGCCGTAAAGAACCATGGGGTTGCGCAATCTCCTGTCTCTATTTCTTAACGTTCGGGGGATTGAGGATAGGAAAAAGGGCAGAAGGGGTTAGGTTCATAAAATGAGTTATTATATAATAACACGTTCTGGAGTTCGGTGTCTATAGTTTACGTTGTATTTGCTACCCACTTTGATTTACGGATGCTGCTGTGTTTGCGGCTGTATCGACTTGTTTTTGTACTTGAAGGATGGATCGATCAATACTTTCCTGGTGTTGGTCTTTGACCCGTGAATAGCTGGGAGCTACTGTTTCCAGAAACACAATCCTTTGCGGACAATAAATCTGTATCAGGTGAGCCAGTTAGTTTTCCGTTGACAGTATTCTGATGTCTGGCAATGTGCATCACTGTTTTTGACATCCTCTGACATAGCACTATATGTATATATATGCATACCGTCTCAACTGAATTATATTTTGGGTTTCTGAACTAATCTGTTAATGATAATATAAGGGCTTCGTATTTGTATAACTGGTGTCTAATAAAGCATCAAGCAGCGTCCTGTGATGTTGTGCTTCGAGTCTTTGAATTCTCTTTTATGATGATTGGGTGAGGGTATGGTTCCTCTTGGCATGTTGGGTATATGCATGCTCAAGAGTAGTTCTCCAGTGATCCAAAGATATTTTATCAAGATTGCTGACATTATGACTACGAATGTTGGTAGAATGCTGTAACTTTCAGCATGCTCATGTTGGCTTGCTAGAGATGTCAATACTGTGAAGATGTGTCCAGGGATAAGGCAGGCTAGGACTTTGTGATATTGACAGGAGAAGAATGGTGCTCGTGCATGTGTTCTGGAATTGCCGGCAATCAAGGCAATTTAGGTTATTTATTTATTTATTTTTTAAATCCGAGGCAATTTAGTTGAGTGCAAAATTCACACAAGTCAGTTCTTAAATTAGGATTCCCTGGGGACCATCTTTAACTCTATGCCCGTGCTGGCAAAGGCCATTGCAGTTTCGAAAATGAGACAACCATTCTAACAGTAACGATTGATTACCTTCATATCATCTTGAGTTGGTCCTGGTTTCATAACTAGCCAAGCCTTTTGTTGTATTGGAGCATTTAGGCCTCTATGTAGCTGTGTGCTCTTTTAGGTCGTCTGTGTACTGTTTGGTCTGCAAGTACAGGAGAAAAGTTTGCACTTAACGCGTAAGGTGCTTAATGGGGCCTGAGTTGATATTTTATTTATTGGGGGTGTTTTGGGGGGGGGGGGGGCATATCCCATCTTGGCATAGATGGTCCAGTTCCCCTATTCAACTGAGGACCACATTCATTTTAACAGCGAATGAGTGGGACTGATCCTGGTGCAATCTGATCTTTGCGGACCTCTTAAACGGGCATTGATTCTGCATCAGCATGCATGGGATGGGGGAGGACTGGGGATCAACAGAGCAAAATTTCACACAGTTCCAAGCATTAAAAAAAAAAATTGCTAATGAGTTGTGGCGGTGGCAACGCCGGTGCAGAATTTTCTTGGTAGTGTGGATATTGATGCAGTTTTAAATGGAATGGGAGTAAATTGTGTAGTGCATGCTATTGAGTGGTGGAGACACGGCAAAATTCAACAATTTTAATATTCTGAGAAGGAGAAAAAAAAAGAAAAAGCAATCAGATGAGTTGAGACTAGCAACAATGAAATCTGGGAAAAACTGTCGTTTCAACTTGGGAAGCATGCATTGAAGAGGGCGGACACGCGAGACAAATATCCTTCTTGTTGTATGAATGAATGGGGATTCATCTCTCGACGTCGCAACTAGCAACGTAGTTATCGATCCGACGAACCCCGCATGCATCGGCCTCCTACGTTGTGGACCACGCTATAACCACCATTCCAACCCACCGGACTTGATCCATTTCCAAGAAATAGGAGTAGTGTAATTTTAGTAGTGTTAGAGCTGTATTGTATCAGATTTCCGACGATTGCGACGGCTGAGCCAAATAAAGGGCAAGAATTGATTGATTTTCTTGCAAATCCAATGAGATTACCGGAATTGTAAATTCTATTGGAGGGGTTCATCACGTACCATCACATCGGTTCTTCATGAAAGAACACACACACACACATATATATATTAAAAAAATTAATCCGAAAAGCCAAAAGAATCCCATCATAGATCAAACTCAGTGGTATATAAAGCAATAAAGAATATTGGTAATGGTGGGGGAACTGCGCATTCTCAACCGTCCATGGACCATGCTAGAATTGCAAGTCTAAAATTAGTAGCTTGGCGATTGACACATATCTACTTCACAGCTCAATTCTGGAAAGGATGACTATTGGCCTCCGCAAGCAGACCTATCATCCAGTTGGAAAGAAGAAAAACAACTCATACGCTATATGATTAATTAATCGGATTTAACCGCTGAGTTTGGCTAGGTGGATTTGGGATAGGAGGTCAAGCATTCAAACCTTGCCTCCAACCATCCGTCACTATATGTGGTCTGCCACTTTAAAATGGTTTTCGTCTAACACCGGTAGTAGTTTAGTCTCCGTCGATTTTTCCTTAAATCTCTTTAGGTCCCCCCTTTTCATAGCATAGAATAAATGCAGATTTATCGTATCCGGGAAAAAAATCAGATTCTTCTTCGATTTATTGCTACACTTGAAATTCATTTTCTTTTATTTTATTTTAATCTTTTGACATGAGGATGATAGCATGGGAATTCACCTAGTTGTTTACTTTGAAAAATATAGATATATATATATATACACACATATACACTAGCTTTAAGTTATACATACAATCACTAACTATAGCAGAAAATCAATCATCAATGCCGTCTTCGAAACAGAAAATTAAAGTAATCAAGAATTGGGATGTACGACTCTTGAGTCAATTCCCAAGCTTTTTATTTTTATTTTTTCAAAAAATTAATTGTCAGCATTTCTTTCCTTAATAATATAAGTGCTGTTATTTCTAATAGTAATCACATTAACGCGAACCAAGAAATAATTACGTATACGTAGTAGGTGTGGCTGAGCCCTAGTAATATGAGGAAATTCTAAAATCATCAAATTCTGCAATTACTACCATCTTAATCTTAATTCTGTGGATGCAAAAAAAGGAATAAAAACAATTTACTGGCATTAAGTACTACTTAGTACAGAAGCAGCAGAGCGGTGTGTTGAGTTACCTGAGTACTACTACTTCCATAAAACCAACACCCAGTGCAAATTTTGCTCCCACGCATTCATTGCCCTTGTACTTCCCAATCAGATTTTACACCAAAACCCACCCCAGAAAATAAACATTGAAGGAAGATAGAAAAAAAATGGCCAACCAACAGAGAAATCGATGCACGTAGCTAGTACAACTTTCTTTGTGTACTTTTGATTATATACGGTAAAATTCGGATTAGACTTACAGTTCTTCATATCAAATTGATTATGCATTGAGTCCTTGAAAGATTTTAATGGCATATGTGCGGGGTTGTCCGGTTCCTGATCCTCTGCAAGTGTGTGTTACCTCACGGCATTCCCTTCCCTGCTGTGGGTGACCGTCCAACTGAGTTTTTCCTGACTTCGAAGCTCTCCAATACCCCTCGTTTTCTCCATCTGTTTTTATAATTTTTTGGCTGACTTGAGTCAGTGTTGGTACTAATTTTTTGGCACTAATGAAAGCAAGACAACAAAGTTGGCAAAGGATCAAAGTCATTAATGCTAACAAGCAACATATTGCCTTGCTAAAAGATGGGAAAGGAGACAATCTAAATACTGCCACGTTGATTGAACACATACATGCTTTAGCTAATTTGTTTCAAATGTGCTCTTTTGAAGTTAGGAATGTTAGTAATATGACTCTATGTAATCAAATTAGTCATTATGCTCTAAACATACTTACGGATGAGGAGAGATTTTTTGACTCTCCTTAAGTGTCATGGTACACTTTGTAAAGCTGCTTGAGCCGTTGCTTAAATATTGTACATTTCAATTATTTATAAAATATCATCCATCGTTTCTGGAAAAAAAAAAAAAAAAAAAAGAGTCAGTGTTGGTCCCTGTTTTTTCACTGCTTCTCCTTGCCCTGTACCAGTACTGCCAGACTCAGACGCTAAAGCATTTCTTTATTGTCACTAAATCACGTCCTTCAAGATTAATATTGCTAATACTAGCACTCTTTGCGACTACTGACATCGATAAATTAATCCCTCTTATCATATTCACATATTCTTTTATGAGCAAATTGCGCGAAATGTCACTAAACTATTTCAAAGTGCCGGTTCTGGTCACTAAACTTTTTTATTAGCGCGAAATGTCACTGAACTCGTAAATCTGTACCATTTTAGTCACTCCGTGTATTTGTGCCGTTAGGAGAGACGGAAAGTCACTTTTTTGGGGGCATTTTTGTCTACACATTTGTTAAAAAATTTAGACCCTCATTCTTCTTCGTCCTCATCTTCTTCCTCAAAGTCACAGCAAAAATTAGACCCACCTGAATTTCTCTGCCCATGAATTTCTCTGCCCAATTTCTGGGTCTTTGATGTCTAAAAATCAAAAACCCAGACTCCCTGGGCAGCCCTCTGAACCTCAGACTCCCGTGACTTAGTTAGTACAAAGCTGCCACACAATTCTCACGTGTTGATTCGGACGAGTCAGACTCACTTCCATCCCGCAAAATTGCCACCAGGCTGGCCACCGCGCCGCCATCCAACAACGCCGACCGCTCTCCAGTGACACCGCCAAATTGCATGAAAAACATTCCCTTTTCTCTTTTTTTCTTTTTCCTTCTTTTCTTTCTTTATTTCTTTCTTTCCTTCTCTTCTTTCTTCCTTCTTCCTGCTGTCCGCCGCCGCCCCCATCGCGTCGCTACCCGCCGCTCGATCTCCACCAGCCGCGCGCCACTCCAGTCGTGCGACCAGCGCGCCACGCCGCCTCCCTCCAGCTCCAACCCTCCGCGCGCCCATCCTGTCCGCCAGCGGACAGCGCGCAGCAGCCGCCCACCTGGTCGCGCGCCGCCGCGGCTATCAGCACTCACACGCCGCACGCCAGCCGTGCGTCTCTTCTGCGGCCAGCGCGCGACGTCTCCCTCTCTACGCAGCCAGCGCGCGCAAGCTCCAGCACCAGCAGCCATCAGCAGCTTTCTGCGCAACTCCACCGTGCGCAGATCCAGCTCCTCAGCAGACCGCGCACGAGCTCAACCACGGGAGCGACCCTCGCCGCCGCGCCTCCAACCGAGCAGAAAACAAAAATGGAGGGTTATTCTCTACCCCTCTCAGCAGCTCCGTTTCAGAAACTGAAGGTTCCTGTTGAGAGGCCGTTTTTGCTTGAACAATGGTGGTTTCCATGGAAGAATAATCAGGTGGGGAGGGGATTTCGACACGGGATTGTCGACACCGGTTGATAATTGAAGATTTAAGAGCTAAATTAGGAATTACAGCGAAAAAATCAGGGGTTGAGCCATCTGATAAATTTGGGATAACCCCTAAATCCTTGCAAACTTGAACAGCAACCCGCTCTAAAGTTTGGCCAGAAGAAATCACCACAGGATCAGGCATCAAAGACCCAGAAATTGGGCAGAATAATTCAGCAAGTGGGTCTAATTTTTGCTGTGATTTTGAGGAAGAAGATGAGGACGAAGAAGAATGAGGGTCTAAATTTTTTAACAAATGTGTAGACAAAATTGCCCTCAAAAAAGTGACTTTCCGTCTCTCCTAATGGCACAAATACACGGAGGGACTAAAATGGTACAGATTTACGAGTTCAGTGACATTTCGCGCTAATAAAAAAGTTTAGTGACCAGAACCGGCACTTTGAAATAGTTTAGTGACATTTCGCGCAATTCGCTCTTCTTTTATCCACAACCAAGATAGATACTGGCAACTATGCAGCGACCACCATTTTACCATTTTAACTTTTCCCGCTCTCTCCTTCTCTCTCCGCCCCTCCTATTGTTTTTTCTTGTTTCTGTTTTCATTCCCTCTCTCCTTCAATGGTATCTAAATCAGTATCTATTAACACTCCCTCAAGGTTCTTGTTTCTTCAACTCTCATGAATGTCTTCGCTAGTTCAAACATTTGTACTACTGCATTTTTTTCTCGTCTGAATACAAGAAAAATTGTCTTCCTGTCTTCTTCTTTTACATTGAATCAAGCTCTTTCTTTTTATGAGATGGAGAAATCGGATGGCCAGGCTAACTAGTTAAGATGTTAAATGCTTTTGGAGTGCACAATCATGATGGATGTTTCATGGGAAGTAAAGAGGAAATGAGTAGCAAACATTGTACTGCTGCTGCTGCTTCTGGTCTTCACTTTAAGAAAGCGCCTTTGTATCCCCAAGATGTGAGTCCTAGCTTACTTTTTGTTTTTATGGGGTAGGCCATGAACCACCCCCCTCCCTGCTTTCTTTATAGATTTCCGTCTCCTTTACCTGCTACCTAGACATAGTAGACTGTGAATTGTCACTCTGATCTGAAAAGTTTCGAACTTTTGATCCAATTCTTATAGGGGTTCTCATATGCAGCTTTATTAGTTAAAGATGAACAAGAATTATATCTGAGATGGGATTTTTGTTTCATACAAGATGATAGTTTGATTGATAAAGCCTGAATCTTGCAATAGGAGAAGAAAATGGAATTGCTGGAGTGCAAAATACTACCCGCGAAGAAAGTTAATAGACGTCTATCAGCCAGAGAAAGAAAATTGGCACTGTTGCAAGATGTAATCAAATTCTGTCCTGCTAAATGTGACTGATTGGCTGCAATTTTATAGCAAGTTTAGATTTTTATAGAAATGCTGAATGTTTGGCTTGTTGGCAGGTTGATAAGCTGAAGAAGAAGCTGAGACATGAAGAGAATGTTCATAGAGCATTGGAGAGGGCATTAAATAGACCATTGGGAGCTTTGCCACGTCTGCCTCCTTATCTCCCTCAATACGTCAGTATTATTAGTACAAAATTGGCTTTCTTTGGATCCAATATTTTCTTCGTTCATTTATTTGACATGGTACAGAAGATCGTTAATTGGTGTGGCCAAAATGACTAATGTGTCACCGTTGATGTGGCGGGCTATTCCTATTTTCTCCATTTTGATGTTTCTAGCGCACAAAATCTTAATTACGAAAATGGTGTTGATTTTTTCAGTTCTGATTTTTTAGATGCTAGAACTTCTTGCTGAAGTGGCTGTTTTGGAAGAGGAGGTTGTGTATCTTGAAGAACTGGTTGTGAATTTCAGGCAAGGTCTCCACCAGGAAGCCGTTCACACACCCTGCAGGAGCAATGAGAACAACGCTGCTGATTCATGCACTGAGGTGCTTAGTTCCAGAAGGAGAAGGCATTTAAGATCCTTTTCCCATGGCAATATAAACTTGGAATCTTCTTGGGCTGCAGCAATGCAGTCGCCTTCTCTGGCTAGAAGTTTTTCAACCAGAAAACAAGCATCATCTGACGCTGATGGCAACATGACATATTCCCATGGCAGGCCAACATATGGAGAGCAAGTGCTAAAGAAACCAAATTCTCCAGGGGAAGAAAGGCTTGGAAAAGAAAATCAGTCCTGGGCTAATTTAGTGAAGGATAAATTAGCTCCAGCACAGAAAGCCGCTGCAACAAAAACTCCAATAAGACGATGTCCAATCAAACCAGAACAAATAGGCAAAGGAGCTGATTCCGTGAAATTGCAGGTACTATTCAAGTTGATTTAGTTGGCTTCGATGTCTTGATGACTCACTGGACTTACTGGAACTGTAATTTCTGCCACTATGGAGAGAGCCAGTTGTCTAACTTAGGAACTGTATTACTGCAGTGCAGAGTTGTGGACCAGGCACAAGAGAGTTCTTCAGGTTCTTCAGATGATAGGGTGTTTGAAGCTGAAACAGAGGCCAACAGAACTTCCCAGGATATTTTGAAATGCTTGTGCAACATATTTTTAAGGTTGAGTACATCAAAAGGGAAGACACTGGATTCAGAATCCTTTTCCTCTGTTATAGCAGGGGATTTGAGCGAGCACAATGTGGACACAGATTTTCGAGATCCTTACTTGATCTCTACAGGCTCTGGAAAGAGAGACTTTGGTCCTTACAAAATGTTTCCAGCCATTGAAGCTAGCTCCGTTGATTTCAACCGGAAAGCAAATGCTCTGTTTCTGATTCGGAGACTCAGGTGAGGCATTAGGCTGTTATTCTTTTTAGCTTCGTTTCTTTTAACTCTCAGGAATCCTTTGGTTTTGAGTTCCATTAGCTTTATTGCAGGCTCCTCCTTGGCAAGCTAGCAACAGTCAATTTAGAGGGACTCAGCCATCAGCAGAAACTTGCTTTCTGGATAAACACATACAATTCCTGCATAATGAATGTAAGGGGTTGTATATCATTAAATGGCATTGGACTCTCCAAACGTTTCTTCTCTTTTTACATGTAGTATTTTCTTCTTTAGGCTGTATCTTTCAACCGAATTATTGCACTGGAAGATGACCGTCTGTTCCTTTTTAACTTGTCAGGCATTTTTAGAGCAAGGAATTCCTGACAGTCCTGAGAGGGTTGTAGAACTTTTGCAAAAGGCAAGATCTCTAAATTCAAACTGCGAGTCTTGCTTTCCATAAATCTTTGATCTTTATCAAGATGAATGACAAAGCATCAATCAATACTAGGAATCATCTCATTTTCAATTTTGATTTCTGCTTTTTGACCAGGAATAATAATTCAATGTACAGTATAGTGTCACATAACAGCTGAGGGCAAAGGCATAAACTTTGTATTGCAAAGGCCTGGTACTTGTTCATAATTTCTTTAACCAAATGAATAATAACATTATGCTTTGTAGTGAAAGCTTTCATTTTAGGAATAAATTTCGGTTCATCACTAGTCTATAGCATTTTATGTGAACCATAGCATGCCCATTTCAGCACTTAAATAAAATTTAAAACCCAACCATGCTCTTTGTCAGGCAACAATCACAGTTGGCGGACATCTGCTAAATGCAATAACAATTGAGCATTTTATCCTGAGGTTGCCTTATCATCTAAAACATGTAAGTCGTGATCCATTTAATTTCGTAATCTCTTTTGCTCGTTTCCTGTAAGCATATGGTAATAGCTTCCAGAATTTGATGAGATTGGTCATAGCTTTTTTTTTTTCACCTTTGTCAACAGACTGGTCCAAAATCAGCAAAAGGTGATGAAATGAAGGCTCACGCTCTCTTCGGTTTGGAGTGGTCCGAACCATTGGTGACATTTGCACTCTCCTGTGGGTGTTGGTCCTCCCCTGCTGTAAGTTGATTCTTTTCTTCAAACAAGCTGGAGCTGTTTTAAAGTAGAGTCACTTGATGTCCGAGGTAAAGGGAGTATGTTTTCTGTTCCCTTTGACGAAGGGATAGCTGTTCCTCACCAACAGCAGTTTGCCACGATTGCCCCGTTGTTTAGCTTTCCAAAGATTTTAAATCTTATTTTGCTTGTAGTAGTAATGAGGGCCGCAATTTTCTTAAATGAAGGTTCGAGTGTACACTGCAGCACAAGTCGAGAACGAGTTGGAAGCTGCGAAGAGGGAATATTTGCAAGCTGCAGTTGGCATTTCACCGGCAAACAAGCTAGTAATCCCCAAATTGCTGGACTGGTATCTTCTTGACTTTGCAAAAGACTTGGAGGCATTACTAGATTGGGTTTGTTTGCAGCTACCAGATAAACTCAGGAATGAAACTCTAAAATGCCTCGTGAGAAGAGGAGGAGACCCTCTTTCTCAAATAGTTGAAATAATGCCTTATAATTACAGTTTCAGGTACCTCATATACCTGTGATAAGTTTTTAGTTTCCCGTCTTTTTCTTCTTTTTTCCCTTATTCAGAACCTTCAGTCTCCAAGCTTCTCAGAACTTAGATTGCAGATTCCTAGAAATACTGAAAAAATTAGATGAAATACATAGAAATAAACTGGGAGATTGTATTTGTCAGGAACCGGCATAAAATTGGTAACATCTCCTATTGATAGGTATTTGCTGTGAATTCATTCATTGTATTCCTCTCTGAAAGTGTTTGTCCTTTCCTCAGTTGATGCTAAATTATATCCAATTATTGCCCTTCCCGCACAATATTCAGGGGAGTACTTTTACGAGGCAATCTCGAGTACTGCAGAAGCTTGTGATTCCCCCAGAACTTAACTACTGAACAGGAAAAAAAAAAAAAAAAGAAAAGGTTGCCGCCGCACGCATGTGCATCAGATGCCGTTTATGGTCTAATAACCCACATGCACAAATTCTTTTACCGTATAAATTCGAGTTGGAATTTGGGATTTATTTATATCCCCATCGTGGGTGAATGTAGCTAGATCTCTTCTTAATATCAACGAATTTCACAGTTTCCCATATTTTTCCACAATACAATATTGATCCGAAAGAGAGGCTCACCTTCCCATTCCACGTTTCGCCTATTCTGATATATACTACAAAGAAATTGTGAACAAGTATAGAATCTGTCGTTAAAGCGCCGTATTATGGATTAATGTGAACCCGATGCATTGATACAATAAAAATCTTCTCGTAAAATTACTGCTTAGCAGCTGTTTACGCTCGAGGAGTTTCCCTATCGTATGCTTTAACATTTATTTGTCAAACTTAGCGTTATGTAAAGAAGGCACTGGGCTCTCTTAAGACATTCTCATTTCAGTAGGTATCACGGTTCCATATGTTGACATTGACGGTGAAAACGTAATGCGATCAATTGTTTTGTCAGAGACTCTTCCCTAGGGATGGCTACAAATAGGCCTGTCAACGGGTCGGGTCTAGACCCGGATCCGGACCGGATCCGTGAAATTTTTGCGGGTATAGGTAGAGATTTAATTCCGTTTCCCGGATCCGGATCCGTTTTGTCAAACAAAAAACGGGTCGGATACGGAATATAGTATTCCGACCCGTTTTAGACCTGGATCCGGATATAAATGAATTAATAATTTAAAAAATATATATTTATCAATATAATTTGATTAGGGTGATGTATTTTAATAAAGTTAATTTGATTTCTTTTCTTATTTGATTTTTTCTTTGCATTAGTTAGAAATTAGTTTACAAATATATTTTTTTCTCATTTTTATTAGAAATTATAAATTTTGGTAAATTTGTTCGGGTAGACCCGGATCCGGATCCGAGACCCGCCGGATCCGGATCCGGAACATAGAATAAAAGACCCGTCGGGTAAACGGGTCGGATCCGGATCCGGCATAGTAATTCGGGTCCGGGTCCGGAATAATGAATTCCGGCCCGGACCCGGCCCGTTGACAGCCCTAGCTACAAACTCCCCCCCGCCCCGCCCAGCTTCCCCCGCGGGGTTAATAAAATTTTCTCCGCTGAATTAATAAAATTTTATTATAGTTAAATTTTAATAAATAATCAAGTACTAAAATATCAACACATCATCAAGTTATTATTTATTTTAATTTTACAATTGAAACTCATAAAAATAATCAAACAAAAGTTATTTGAATACAATCCAACATGATAAAATAAATACAACTAAAATAGTCAAGTTTTCACTTTTGGTACAAATACAATCACTAATTCATTATTGTGTTTGTGTTTTTTTTTTGAGAAAAAAATGTTATTCTATTAAGTGTAATTAGAAATTTAGTATAAATGTCTTAGTAAATTTAGTATAACTAATTAATAAATTCTATTAGTAGACATGTCTAATTATTCGTATAATTGATAATATCAATTATATTACACACACTAATATACGTTATATAATACATCTAACTAATAATATCATTATCATAAATTTATAACTAATTAAATTACATATTATATATAATTATATATATATAATTTTTTTTTGCAGGTGGCGGGGCGGGGGTATACTCCCCCGCCCCCCGCCCCGTTTCTAAACGGGGGGAAAAAATTACCCCCCGCCCCCGCCCCGAGAGACCCCCGCGGGGCGGTTGCCCGCGGGCACCTGCCCCCATTGCCATCCCTACTCTTCCCGTTATTAATCAAATCAGCTGAAGCATACAAAACCAATACACTTAAATACAGCAAAGAATACACCCGGGCAACCGCCCCCATTGCCATCCCTACTCTTCCCGTTATTAATCAAATCAGCTGAAGCATACAAAACCAATACACTTAAATACAGCAAAGAATACACCCAGGTCCCTCTGCTGGGAGTACATTGATTATAGTACATGAAATATGAAAGCCTCCCAATATGAAACAACATAAACTGTACAGCTAACAACATACCTACTGGAAAAATAACCAAAAGATGAAAATGAAAAAAAAAAAAAAAAAAGAGGACAAAATTATAAAAAAAGAGGGTAGCATAAGCAAAATCACAGCATGAAGCTGGATCAAAATAAGGAAGTAGCACACAACAAAATTGCCAATTAAGTCGATCCAGGAAGCTTATGAATCTCAGCCAAATGGCGAAGGGACAGGTCCCGCAAGAGCATCAGATCTTTTGATGCTTCCCATTCCACAGATAATGCAGCCAAGTGTGGACAGTGCAGAAAATTTGGCCCCACATAGATCGCAAACATCATAACCAATTGTTGATAAACGACCAAGTGTAGCAGCACAGAACTGGGAAGGGTCTTCTAAAGGATCAATAGACTTGTTGGACAATCCTCTCTGAACGCAAATGTCAATTAGGCTACGCAACTCATCTTGCTTGCCAGGAGGGGCTTTAGATAGGAGCAATTCAAGCATCTGCTTCGAATAGGCATAATTCTGCACATCCATATTCCTTTTTATGGCAGTTCGAATGCAATTTATCCGGTGCTTGGCAAGAAGAGGCAATGAACCGAGGTGACGAGACAACCTTGCCATCTCATCTTTTGCACTGATAGCACTTGGGCCTTGGACTTTCTGTAACCGGCTAATTTCCTGGGGAAAAAAAAAGCATGTGATTTCCGGAGGAAATGTGGTGGAATAAAATGCTACCAGAAGAATGAAAAGGACATCACCGACAAAATTGAGCGAATTCTACTTAACAATCATCATGTAATAACATTCAGAAGATTAAACCATAGTTGTGGATTTTTTTTGCTTTGGTTCACTCCTTGGGATTGCAAGATTGCTAAATCAAGCAATAGGATGGTTATCAAAAGGCTCACCATATGCTTTTGTTTTAGGAAGCCAACGAGTGGTGGCAATTTGGCCACAAATGATACACTTGGTTTACATATTTAGTTGTGGCAATTGAAATTATCAACATCCAATTCAATCCTACTTCGACCTTCATTGCCTCGTTATGTTAAGGCGGCTGATGGAAGTCATGGAACTTATCAACATCCAATTCAATCCTACTTTGACCTTCATTGCCTCGTTATGTTAAGGTGGCTGATGGAACTTTTAGAACCAAGACTAGACTGACGAGAATACAGATTTTGGCTATACCAACCTTATGCATGCTCACTCCTCGTGTAAAAGACATTTTAAACTGATACCTGAAGAGAGACCATATGAGTTTTCCCAAGGTTAAGAATTACAATACCCGGAGTAGCGTGACTGCAATTTTATACTGAGCACATATTGTGGCCTGAGCCTTGATATCAGCTCCACGAGACTGATCCTTGGCCAGTGCTAGGAAAGCTTCATCAAAGCAGGATAATGCATCTGGAAGTTGATTCTGCTCAAGATGAGACATTCCGGTCTTGAAGCAAAATGGAGCAGCAGCCCCACGAGGAACCTGTAATGAGTAGAATAAAAGGATTAAGGCAGAATAACCATATGCCAGGTTTTTAAACATAAAACATAACCCCGATAGTCTGCGGCAGATACTAGACTGCCATATTTTATGTTCTCTATTTGTATATGCCATGTACATCATTTTTAACACCATGTATGGCACTCATAAAAATTTGTTCTATGTTTACTTGTGTTCAAAGTGATTACATTTTGAAGAACTGAACGTACATTGTGTTGAGTTGGAATCAAAATTTGCATCTAAATTGAACCTTCAGACATTTCGTCTAATGTAGTGTGTTTCGTACATTTTGTTTAATGTAGTGTGTTTCCTTTCCTTTTTTTTCTTTTTTTTTTTTTTGGCGGTCTGATGAGAACTTTGACGGCTACGAGCATGGTTTGCCACATAATATCTCCACATTCATTATATCTTGAGATAAACCATCTCTAGACTTTTCCGGGAAACCCTTTATGCCCTGACTAACAAGGTTTTGATTCTTTTAAATTCTTAGTATTTGACAACAAGAGATGATGAAAACAAAACTAAATGCTTACCTGTCCAGGACGTACAGCTTTTGGAGAAGTGGGATGTTCAGGAGCTCTTCCTGGCATTCCAGAACCTGGAGCTTCCAGAGAACTGAGATCAAGGGGCTGTGTTGAGATTGGAACTTGTGCCATCTGAGGCTGAGACTGCACTGGCATGACAGGCTGAACACTTAACTGTGGTGGTATGCTACCACCTGGAAGGCCAATGGAATCAGATGAAACAGGTTGCTGCGTTGCTTGTGGTGGGACACCACCATCAGGTAGACCTATATCAGCTACAGGTGCACTCTCCTGGTTAGCCACAACCTTGTTACCTTGTAATCCTTGAGAATTCTTTTCCAGTTGCGAAAGGTAAGTTCCAGGAGGAGGCAGTGATGCAGCAACCTGGATAGATGATATGGTATTCTGGAAGAAGTCCTCCGGGATCGGCCTAGGTGTAACTCCAGCACCAGTAGAAATAGGGGAAGGCTGTGAGGTAGATGTAGGTTGCACCAGAGAGTCTGTTCCAAAAGGATCAGTAGGTGCAGAAACTGTAGGAGCTGTCACACTTCCAGTGGTGGGAGGAGCAGGTTGAGATAAAATCAGGCCAAGATCCGGGGATGAACCAGTGGATGATTTGGTTCTACCCATCGGCAAACCCAACTGCTTTGTGGCTTCTTTAATCTTATTTACATCCACGGTAGATGATGTGACTGGTTTATCTCGAATTCGAATGTGTAACTTTTTGGTCTTTGAACTTTCTTCCTCATCACTGCTGCTACCATCAGCGGCAGAACCATACAGCGATTTTTTAAATTCCTCTGCTGCTTTGGCTTGTTCATCAACTGCATGAGAACCCGAAAATTGCTGAGAGAGGGTTTCTAGGCCCATCAAGGAATTCGATTTTGGTTCACCTTC